GCCTACCCCAGTTACCACTACTGTGCATGTGTGTCAAGGACAGAAAGGCAGATGTGGCAGTGGAAGGTGTCATAGCAGTTTGGAGAGAAAAATAAAGAAAAAAAAAGAAAACGATTAATCGATTATTAAATTAGTCATCGATTATTTTAATAATCGATTAGTTGTCGATTAATCGTAGCAGCCCTACTGATAATCAATATTTACAGATATTACACAAACACACAAACTATTTATTAGGGCTGCAAATAACGATTATTTTAGTAATTGCATACGTTAATTGAATATAAAACATAGAGCTTATCGTGCCAGAATGCAGCTGCTATTGTATAACCATTGTTAGATTTTAGCTATTTGCTAACTAAAAATAATTGCTGTGGAAGGCAAGTTCTGCTCTGCAGATACTGCACATGTATCTCTTTCATTTTCTTAAAATGATCCCACACTTTTGAGCTTTGTTGCCAGGTAGCCATGATACCAGAGCCTGTCTGTATAATGTCTTGTGACGTCCACGGCCTACCCCAGTTACCACTAGTGTGCATGTGTGTCAAGGACAGAAAGGCAGATGTGGCAGCGGAAGGTGTCAAAGCAGTTCGGAGAGAAAAACAAAGTAAAGAACAAAAAAAGAAAACGATTAATTGATTATTAAATTAGTCATCGATTATTTTAATAATCGATTAGTCATCGATTAATTGATTAATCGTTGCTGCTCTAGTTGAAAATGTCGGTGCACCTAACTTTTGTACTGGTGCACCTAAGAAAAAAATGTTAGGCGCATCGGTGCAACCAGTGCAAAAAGTTAGTCTAGAGCCCTGTTGCACTAATGTAAATGTTTTCAAAACTCCTCTTAGGAAAAAATGTAAAATCAAAGTATTGTTCCAAGTGTCCCAATTTAAAAAAAAAAAGCAGCATGTATAACCCTGTACAATAGTCTTGAAGCCCTGTCACACTGTAACATTTTATACAAATTATGCCTACTTATGAAAGGTTTCAACACTAAAGATATCTAAGACAAAGATGGAATTAAAAAATATATACTGGAAGCCTCTTTTGGACCCTGAAATGTTAAGAGTGGTTAGGGGAGTCGTCCAGGAACTGGTGGGTTGCCGTTTCAATCCCCGTTCCAACTGTCTTTGTGTCCTTGGACAAGACACTTCACCCGCTTGCCTACTGATGGTGGTCAGAGAGGTCGATGGCGCCGGTGCATGGTAGCCCTGCCTGTCAGTGTGCTCCAGGGCAACTGTGGCTACACTGTAGCTTAACACCATCAATGTGTGAATGAATAACCACACACACACGTCTTTGAGTGTCCTAAATAAGCTCTATAAAAGACATTGTTAAAAGTGACGGCTTTTTACAAATGTACTCGTTCATGTTTCTGTTCCTTTTTCACAGATCATTGTCACAGTGTTCAAAATTTGAAAATATTAGGAAAGTTTACAGCTGTTGTCAATTCCAAGTTTGAATTACGTATTTGTGTGCAGCCCAATTTGCAGCTCATTGTGTGCATCATGATCGGCAACAGAGATGACCTCTACAGTGCCATCAAGAAGTTGTGTTGTGTCAAAATCCCCATTCCTTCCCAGGTGTGTAATCTACATGTTTCTTAATTGAAGGCAGTGAGTGTTTAGTTTTAAACCTGGAACTGTTCTCTGAAAGGAAAATAAAATAATAAAAACTTTATTTCCTCAAAAAAAGAAATGGTAAAGCTTGTTTGTCATTTCTCATTAGGCCATCAATGTTCGGACCATATCGCAGCAACAGAAGTTGAGGAGTGTTGCACAGAGGGTTCTTCTGCAGATGAACAGCAAGTTGGGAGGAGAACTGTGGACTGTCAATGTTCCCCTGGTGAGTGTTGTGTTTTGTCAAGCAGAACAGTCACAGCATACCTGATTGATCTCCACAGTTAAAGAGGACTGCCTCTACTTGAGTTGATGGAACTACATATAATGTTGTCCATATGAGGAATGCTTTGATTTTTGTGATTATTGATGGGATTAAACATTTGGTAAGGAAAAACAGAACTTTATCTGACCTGTTGGTTTTAAAGTGATCCGTGATTAGTTGTAACATTAGACTTTATTTGATAAACATTTATTTTAACTGTAAAATAAAGACTGTAAAAATACTGTAGGTTGTGTAGTTTTGTAAATTTAAAAAAATATATTTTAACACAGACGGAGCCATTTTATTTACATGCAAAGCATTCTGGATAGGTCCTCTGTGTGAGCGAGCTATATCCACCCTGAAGATTAATCTTGGACAATATCTGATGATCAACTCTTTTAAATGAAACCAGAGAGCGTTGACAGAGAGGAGAAGGTAGAAATGGCTCAGCCTGTAACTGAAAATATGGATGGAGGACAACAGAGCTGCTTCATGGAAGAAGAACCTCAGCTTAGCCTGTTAGCCTTCACGCTAGTGCCAGTGCTATATTGCCTTATATGTATTAGCTCAGCCCCTGAGGTTCTTCTTACAACTAATCATGAATCCCTTTAAGGAGTTTACAAGATCAAATGTTTACCTTAATCCAATCAGTTTGATTAGTTTCCCTTCTATATAGTTGTGGGGTGTCTTTTGTGTATTTAAAAGCCTTGCTGTAAAGTGTTTTTGATGTGTTTGAGTTTATTAAACAACAGAAGAACAAGTTAAGATTTAGGCAGAAATCTTTAATGTTGTTTGTCTTGGGGAAAAAGTGCATTTTTGGAACAACAGTACATAGTTTGTTTTTTTCACTTGTATAGAAAAGCCTGATGGTAATTGGAGTTGATGTCCACCATGACACCAGCAAGTCGCATCAGTCAGTGATGGGATTTGTGGCAAGTGTGAACAGGTACACTTATCTAGTTTTCATTTCATGTTTTCACAGTAGTTCATTAATAAGTGACAGTCTTTTCAGGGTTTTTTTTTTTTTTTTTTTTTTTGCTAAAACATTACTGCACTTTACAGTAATAAAGATTTGCTTCATTTCTTAATTTTTTGAAAAATCTGCAATTAGTTTTTCAAAACTTTTCCAAAAACAATTTTTAACTTTTATAACTATGAGGGGTACACCAATAAATCATCTGACCGATATATCGTCACTGATTTCTTCAATTTTAGAAGATGGAGATCGGCCGGTACTTAGATAAGATGGGTGGAATATACAGGTGCTGGTCATAAAATTAGAATATCATGAAAAAGTAGTTTTATTTCAGTAATTCCATTTAAAAAGTGAAACTTGTATATTATATTCATACATTACATACAAACTCATATATTTCAAATGTTTA